TTTGGGGTATTTTTTTTTTTTTAATTTTGTTTTTTTTTTTTGTTTTTTTTAATTTGTTTTTTTTTTTGGGGGGGGGGTGTGGCGGGTAAAATGTTATCGTCAAACAAATCATCGAGAAAGTAACAACATAATAATAACAACATAATAATAACGACATAATAATAACGACATAATAATAACGACATAATAATAACGACATAATAATGACATAATAATAACGACATAATAATAACGACATAATAATAACAACATAATAATAACGACATAATAATAACGACATTATAATAACGACATAATAATAACGACATAATAATAACGACATAATAATTACAACAATGAGACTGTCGTCACGGGCAATTAATTTGATAGGATAAAAGGAAATGGAATTCAATTAAACGGTTATAAGATAATAAGAGAATGCCATTCATATATTAACATTTCAGACAGGTCTATAATAAAAATGGGCCTCTGGGTGGAAAGAGAAAAGGGGATGTGGGGGTGGGGGGAGAAATCAAGAATAATTGTGGAGGGAGAATGTGACGTCTTACGGACTAGTTTTGTATGAGTCTCTTCGATTTTAAAATAGCGGTATATGATGAGACTAACTGTTTTATCTTTTTTTTAAATTAAATATAATTTAAATAGAAAAATAGGAGTTTGTCCCGCGTGAAGTACAGGTCCCGTCATACTACACGGAGAGTGTTTGGTGTGGATAAGATATCAAGTTGTCCGGCTGTCACCAATGCCGTTATGGATACTGCTACGATTATTTGTTATATGGGTCACAATGTTATTTTTAAACGCAATCCTTGTCTCTACTGGACACGTTCAGGAACGAAAGAAACTTTTTTTTTTTTTTTAAATTTCGGGGAGAAAAGAGGAGATTGGGGTTGGTGAATATCATTCCCGCTTTCAGATCATTTGTGGTTGTCATGGTTTGGCTGAGTAAACATGGATCGGATGATGTCACTGTGAAGTGAGAGGGAAGAAATTATTCAGAGTCAACGTATACATTTTATTTTAAAAACTATACTTTTGGGTCTGTTTTAATAAACCCCTAATTAACGTACTGGAATCGAGTTTAGAAACAGCGAACATGATTTTATAACCAACCCAAAGTGGTAAAAGTAGGCGGCAACCACGGGCAAGCTACTCTGCTATACATAAATTTGGACGTAGCCCATATCAATTGTTTGGCCTTGTACTTTTTAAACTATGGATCTGTCGGTATGCTTTTTAAGAAGAACTATATGACGTAAAATGCATGTTAAAATAGACCCAAACGTTAGTTTTAGATCGAAACGACGCGAGAAAATTGCTCCACTTTAAAATGATTTTAGTTTTGAACTGTCCGAATGAACATTTTATCTAAATTCTAAATGATTTGAACTGAAGTAAAATTGCTTCACTGAAACATTAGTGCTGAGACGAACAATTTTAAAAAGTTTTAGAATTTGATTTATTTAATTTTTTAAAAAGTTATTATTTTAATAACTCCCAGATTTGTGTCCAAATTTGGTTTAAGTTTAATTAAAAACCGTCGCACAAAGATAAGTGGCAACCAAATGTTGGTCAAATTAAACAACATATCTGTTGTGTGTTTCAGTATTACGTCGCCATCAAGACTTGTCTGACACATGGGTTGAAATAACGTATTGAAAGTAAGCAATCAGTTTATCTATAGTTGAGCATTCCTTTTTTCCCCCAAGTATGTTGTCATGGACTTTAAAAAAGAAAAAATTGTAAAGAAAATAGATTTAGGGCATTTGAAATAATAGTCTGAACGTGTTGTGGGTGCTTTAAATGAGTTCAATAGCTCATGTCTTTAATGTTATTCTTTTAAAATGCAGCATAAATTTTAGTAGGTCTATGTATTTAAAATGAGGGGGGGGGTGATCAATTCGAACTGATTTGACGGCAGTGCGCTATAAAGTGTAATGCAAAGATGTTGCCAACTTAGTGCATAAACAAGTGATGTGTCCGTTTTGTCACAGCTGAGATGGTGTCAGAAGAATACGGTGCTTACCACGTTTAAATAAAATGACACTTTTGTGATGGAAGTGTCGACTTTCGGGGGGGAGGGGGAGGGGGTGCCGCGAGGACGAGCGCCGCTTAAGGATACTGGGTGATTTGGGCGCTGAGGTTGTGGAGTTTTGAATACAGCCGAGGGCGCCAAGAATATTAAAGGATCTGTTTGCCAGAGGGTGGTGAGAAAGATTGGTGCCGACGTTGATTGGCATTAAGTCCCCACATATAAATGAAGTGAAGGGTCTTATAGTCTCGGAGATGAATAGAACTTACATTTAAGAACATTTAACTTATATATATATATATATATANTATATATATATATTTAAAAGACCGATGTCAAGCACACACAAAAAAAACAACAACTAAGCGTCATGATGGTAAAATTTCAGCGACCGTAACAAGGGGGTTTTAACTATAGGCTACAGTCTAGACTTCTTGGGCGCAGGTCAAGTGTTACATTCATAGCGGGTGGTGAGTGGTGTACACGGCACGCCGTTACTAAGACAGGCGTTGGGTTAAATCACGCTAGATGTTAGGTCAACCTATCACTAGAAGATGTCCTGCCACCAGCATTCCAGCCTCCACATAGACGACACAATGGGCTTACATACTCTATAGTAGTGTCGACAGGGACGGACTATCCATGGTTGCCAACATCCCCAGGACCCCCGAGGTTCAATGGGCCCTCAAAGTTCAAAGGGCCCCTAGTCTTACAGGCTTCAATTAAAATATCCGGTTGCCTATTATAGCTTTCATGTAAGGATCGGGCAATATCTATATGCATAATCCGGCCAGTAGCATATGCGTAATCCGCCAGTAGCATATGCGTAATCCGTCCAGTATCATATGCCTAATCCGGCCACTATCTACGCATTATCTGACCAGCGGTAATGCACATGAACACAATGAAAAGTTTTCTTATGTTGTTTCAGGGCACTTGGACCCTTGGCGGAGTCGCATCCATGTTCGGACAAAAATCCTAAGTAATAATAATTGATGAAAAGCATGTTCCCCAAGAAGGCATACATTTATTATAACACGTCCCCCTGCGTGGAAAAAGTACATGCATTTCTCCAATACACCCCCTACTGCAAGCCATGCAAGCGTACTAAATAAGTATAAGTAGACAATAGTATAAGACCAGAGCACTTTAAAGGGTCAAAGACAATCACATACTTGCCCGTTCTTCTCTCGCTATCTCTATTACAACAGCTCATAGCTCGCTATCTCTATTACAACAGCTCATAGCTCGCTATCTCTATTACAACAGCTCATAGCTCGCTATCTCTATTACAACAGCTCATAGCTCGCTATCTCTATTACAACAGCTTATAGCTCGCTATCTCTATTACAACAGCTCATAGCTCGCTATCTCTATTACAACAGCTCATAGTTTTCAACAGTAAGATGGCGCAGGTCACTCAAACGGTACCGCC